TTTATATTTTGCTATGACTATATATTTACAAAAGTTATGGTGAAACATTATCTTTTGTTAGATTATTTTAACTAAGTTAGTATTCACTTATGATTAATTTTATGTTGTTGCTTCACGAGTGAAGTAAAATACATAATTAAAAATGTTTATTTTAGATGACAATAGAAACTTTTGCAACCATACCAAAAATATTTTATACTATGAAGTGTTTCAAAAAATTTAGATTTTAATAAGTCTTTGTTTTATATATACTTTCAATTCTTCAAATATTATTTATTCTATTTTGATGTTGATGTATATATAGTATTAAAAATCATATAAGAAATTTATTTTATTTAATCCACAAAAAATAATACATGAAAAAAAGAATTGAAAAAAAAATTGTTCGACCCCGTACATGGCACGGGTCAAAATACTAGTATAGAGTAAAATGAAAGAATTGGAAAAGTAAAAACAAAATTTAAATTGAGAAAAGGAAATTATGCTTCTCAAAAGGAAGTTGATGACTTGCATTGAGAAAAAATAATTATATAGTATTTCTCAAAGGAAGTTGTTGTGTGCCTTCTTCTCTCTTCCTGATTCTTATTCAAAAACTAATATTTTTCACATCGAGTTTCTAAAAAAGAGGTAAATAATTTTTTTTGAAAATGATTACAACCTGTAATCCGCATTAGGGTTGTCAACAGATAGCTGAAAATCCGATTATCGTTCGCATCCGTATCAGTTTAAAGATGAAATATCTACATCCATTTTAAACGGACGTATCCAATTAAGGATATCCGATTACTAAACGCATACGGATTTGGTAATTGTATATCCGATTCGTTTAAAATCTGATCCGAATGTGCATTCGTTTAAATAACCGTTTATCCAAATATCTAATGCGTTATATATAATTTTTCCTAATTTTTTTATGGGGGTAATAGCATGGGTATCCCCTGTGATTTACAAAAGAAGCGCCAAAACCCCCCTACTTTCAAAAGTTATTTGTAAAACTCCTGTGGTTTTTAAATAGTGCACAAACACTCCCTCTTGCCTATTTTAGATATGAAATGACATTTCTGTCTTTGGTTTTTCTCTATCTTCAAATTTTACTCTTTTCTTTACATTTTTTGTTATACAAATAAATAAAGTAAAATATACGCATTTTTTCTCAAATTAAAATTTTTCATTTATTTAATTTTCAAAAAAATATTTTTTTAAGAAAATGTTACAAAAATGAAATGAAATACACTTTTTCATTATAAGTAAAAGTAAAAAAATAAAATAAAAAATTGGATATCATATACTCACTCTGTCTCTAATTAAAAATTCTAACTTGTTTGTTTTCTAAAAGTAAAATATTTTTTTTAAGGACTTTAAAAAATGAAGAATCGAAAGATTAAATAAAATATGGAGTTAAAGAAAAAGACTATTTTTTATATTTTTATTTCTTTTCATTACCTTTTTTAACTATTATTACTTTTTACTTTCTACACAATATTTTATTTGTCTTTTTTTTGTAAAATTCTCCAAAAAATCTTTTGTTTTCAAAAGTACATTATGAAAAATTCTAATTTGAGATGGGAAGCGTATATTTTATTTTATATATTTGTATAATAAAGAAAATTAAAATTGGAAAAATTTAAGAAAGGGGAAAAGAAAGGACATAAATGTCATTTTTGCTTTAAAAATAGGTAAGAGGGACGGGTGGAGTTCCCATGACATTGGGTTCCAATGTCATGGGATGACCGGGGGTGCTCCGGTGCCCTGTTCGTAAAATTGACGGTTCCTACCCCTGGTAAACCCCCACCCCGCCCCGCCCCGAAACATCCCCCTACCCTGTCAATTGCACCCCACAAGTTGATTTTGACTTTAGTGTCAAATTTTGATTCCAAAGTCAAAATCAACTTGTGGGGTGCAATTGACGGGGGTAGGGGGTGTGTTCGGGGCGGGGCGGGGCGGGGGGTTTATGGGAACCTTGGTGAAGAGGGACATGTATGCTCTATTTAGAAACCACAAGGACTTTAAAAATAATTTTTGAAAACAGAGGGGATTTTGACGCGCTTTTTGTAAACCACAGGGGGCACCCATGCTATTAAGCCTTTTTTTATGTTTATATTTCGTTTCTCTATTGATATTTCAAAGTATAAGACATTTTTATATACAAAATAAATGTGTAGACACATAAAAACATGTACAGACATATAAAAATATGTATATATTTGTGTTGTGTATATCTTTTTATTATATGAAGTTATCGTAAAACATCATAAATCATGAAAATAAAGAAAATAATTATCCGATAATAAATTATAGTTGATTTAATAATAGTTTGATTTTAATCTAATTTAAAATTAAAGTATTGTTTAATTTGATTTTAAAATTTGGAAACGGATACGATATAGCAATATTATATTTTATGCACCCTAATCAGCATCCTCACTCCCGTAAGTCCGTAACTATGAGCACGCACAGACCCCTGCGGTTGTGGGCTGGGAACTCGGTCCTGTGGAGTGTGGATAGAGCTTTAGCTTGACATCTGCCATGATCTGTGTGAGAATTTATCCCTTACATCCATCCTTTTGTTTTACATTTAGAAAATAAAGTCCAAATTATCTGTTTTCCTGTGCCGGAGATGTTTGCTTTCAGTTTAAATCTGGTATTCTCGAGTGTTTCAAATTTAGGTAATAATCTAGTAATATAAACAGTTGCGCTTTGGATCATTTCTCCTGCGTAATATTGCTTAATTAGTGATTTAGTGTCACAATTTTACATATCTAGTTCATTCCCTGGTGATTTAATTATTCAAATTTACACATCCAGTTCATATGTTAGACTATGTTTTTTATGCATGTCTGAATGTGAAGCTTGGGAATACCGAAAATGTAATCGAGAGAGTAAAAGTTCTTGGGCTCTGGTTATATATTAACTCTTGAAACACCGATAAAAGAAACAAAAAAATAAACATTTTGTTCACATTTTAGGCAGTTATCTAGTCTTTGATTGAAGAAACTAAAATTCTGAATGACTTTGCAGAATAAAAAGGATTAAAGGGCAGTCACAAACTTCGCGGCACAATTAAAATTTGGGTAGTTTTTAGCTGAAACTGGAAGAAAAGTTTGAAGAGCCTATATGTTCATCTCTGTTTGTGATTGTGAGGCTGAAAATTTGTTCAAACAAGAAATTTAATGGGGGCTTTTTTTTCCCTCTACAAACATAGAAACAGCCAGGCTGTTCTGGGCAGAAAAAAACATGACAGAATTGAGTTGGGAGTAGTTTTTGATGATTTAAATGCAATGAAAAGTGGTTGCGGTCATTAATATAAATAGGGTATGTTCAATAATGTGTAGGGTCATGGGCATGAATTTTGCTTGAATTGGCAGCTTGCAAGTGGTGCTTCAGGGCTGAGATGTAAAGTTTGCCCATGCTGGAAATTCTGCAATATGCATTTGTGCTGATATGTGTGTTGGCTGTTAAAGAATTGAAAATGTTTTTATGGCGAGTATTTGGACGTATAACCCTTGAGGTACTTATGGTTTATTATGCAATATGTTTTTCTATGAGATTTGAAAGATAGAAAAATTAATTGAGTTTGAAGTATTCTTACTTGAAGAATCGTTTAGGGACTAATATAAATGACCTTAAAATGACCCTCTATCTTTACATGAATGATTTCTGCTTGCTTACTTGAGTACAGTCATTGTCCATGGCTTACGTTTAGGAGTGTAGGTTAACTAGTTCCATTTACCTTAGATTAAAGGATAAGTTTATGTCACGTATGAATATGACATCGTAAATGTAATTCTTCGTGATAGAGTAGCTTTGTACTTTCTCTTGACATTGCTGTAAAGGTGAGAATTTATTTCTCATGGAATCTTGAACATATTTAGTGAATATACTTTATCTTACTAAACATTACCAGCTTTTGAGTAGTTTGATTTAAAACGGTTGAAAATATTATCCTTTGTCTGCTAATTACTTTCATTGGTTTAAGAAAAAGCATTTTCTTACATGCGATTTCACTTCTATGTTAAAAGGGAAGATTTTGCTTTGAGAACTAAAAATATGAAATACTCCGCAATAGTTAGTGGTTCAGTTATTGAGTGTTCCTGAGCTATGGCCGGAGCTGCCTTTTTCGGAGGCAGTCTATACTGGAGTGTGAACTTGGTGTGAGGAATAACAAGAATCCTAAAAACTCACCATGGTTGTGCCCACGGATGACAATCACAGGTGATTTACCTATGATTGTCATCTGTAGGGGTAACCGTGGTGGGTTCTTAGCATGATCCGAGGAATAAACCACACTTCAGTGTATTGCTAGTGTCTCTTTATGGAAGGTGGTAAATGATTGTCAGTCTACTGAAATGTGTTAATGTCATGTTACATTTTCAAATGTTTGACAAATAATTGTTTCATTTTTTGTGTGCAGGAAATACATATTTGTACCATAGTGAGTTACTGATCTATCTCTAATAGATGAGATTGAAAATGATGTAAAGAGTACTTATCATTCATTTATGATGGAGTGACAAAAAAGGCAAGAACAATAGATACAACACGAACTATCCTTAGGCCATCAAATGCACCGCACCGGTTTTTATCAAGTCTCAGGTCAGTCCGGGACCAGACCAAATAATGCACCATCCTAATTTTTATGGTTATCACTAAGCGCAATTTTGGGTTGACATTTGAGTGATGCAGTGAACACCAAGATGCAATATTTCTGGTGTAATAGTACAACCAAGTGCATTAAAGCAAAGTAAGGAAATGTATATTTACGATTTGATTTTAGTCACTCCGGACTTGGTGATTTTTTTTGTTTTTGTTTTTCTGAACCCGCTACACCCTGGCCAGAGGCCCATTAACGTCGTAAACCTTAAACCCGTTAACCGAAGCAGATAACCCAATTTTTCGGAACCCAACAACTTCCTACTTCTTGGCAGGTCATGCATCTCTTTTAAAATTAAACCCTAAATATATGTTGCTTAATTTATTTTGAAGCGTTTAGTGTTACTTTTAAATGGGAAAATATTGTATTTTTGTTTTTTTATCTTCCAAGAAAAATGCTCTTAGTGATTTTCATTAAAATTAAGGCTTTGCATTGTTTCGTTCCAACCTGGTGATAGATGGAATGGAAAATGAAGTAAAGATCACTTATCATTTATGCTGGGCTGAAAAGAAAGGCAAGAGCAGTAGATACAACAAGAACTGTCCCACATAAGGGTTACAAATATGAATCTTGAAGAAGAAGAAAAAATGGCAAACAGACACAATTAAGAGATGGGAAGAGGAGCACCATTCCAGCTCTTGAGGCATTCCAACAAAGGATCAATTATCCCTCCGTCACACATTGCGGCGAACACCTTTTCACACACCTCGCCAGGCGACTTCACCTTCTCTCCGGTCAACACCTCAGTTCCAAGCTCTTCGCGGACGAATTTGTACAGAGGATAGGACCGGCACTCCTTGATTCTGTTAGGAATGGCTGGGTTGCCACTCTCAAGGGCAGCTCGGGCACCCTCTACTTCCTTGGGCAGAACTGCCTTCAACTCCTCTTCAAAAGCCGCAATCTTGTGGAAGATAGATGTGGTCAAGTTCTTCTCAGTTTCCCCATTCTGCAAGGCGTGATCCACCAGGACTTGCCTCAGTTTCTGCATCAGTGAGTAGTTAGTGCTGCACGGGTCATCGGCGTATGCGAAAACGTACTCACGGTCGACCACCCTGAGCAAGTCCTTCTCACAGAATCTGGAAGGGTGGAGTTCCCCAGTGACGCCGGTGGTGAGAGTCCTCTTTGCCACTTGGCTGACTGTGTTCTTCACGCCATTCTTCAAGTTCTCTTCCAAGTGCCTCAGATCAACAGCCTGGCAGATTGCCACGAGATACGTGGAGGACATGAGTTTCAGCACTTCCACAGCTTCGGCCGTCTTCCTTGCTGAGATCAAACCCAAAGAGTTGACATCTTGGTTGTGCTGCTCTGCGCTCTGGACGTGATTCGTGACCGGATTGGCCAAGAACTGAAGCTCAGAACAGTATGAAGCCATTGCAATCTCTGCGCCCTTGAACCCATAATCAAGACTCGGGTTCCTACCCGCGGTGAGGTTAGATGGCAACCCATTGTTGTAGTAGTCGTTGACCAGCTCCGAGAACTGGGCAAACAGTAGCTTTCCAATGGAGGCAAGGGCTAATCTGGTGTTGTCCATTGACACGCCAATCGGCGTGCCTTGGAAGTTCCCGCCGTGCAATGCCTTATTCCTCGAGACGTCGATCAAAGGGTTGTCATTCACGGAGTTGATCTCCCTCTCAATCATCTTGGTTGCCGCCCTTATGACTTCAATCTGTGGGCCAAGCCACTGGGGCGATGTTCTCAGAGCGTATCGGTCCTGTTTCGGTTTCTGCAACGGGTCGGTCTCGTGCAGTTTCTGCGCAGCTTTCATGTAATAGCTCCCATCCAAAATGTGCTCCATGATTGCCGCAGCCTCAATTTGGCCCGGGTGATGCTTCAATTTGTGCGTCAGATGGTCAGTAAACTCCGGCTTCCCATTCATCACTTCCGCGAAAACGGCAGACAAAACCTCAGACAGAAGGGCAAGCAGATTAGCATCGAAGAGAACCATGGACGCCATACCGGACCCGACAGCAGTGCCGTTCACAAGCGCCAGACCTTCCTTGGGCTGCAGCTCGAAGAACCCACCAGAGATCCCGGCCAGGCGGAACGCCTCCTCGGCATTCAAGGCCTGCCCTGTGGGTCCCACCGCCTTGGCGTTCGGCCTCCCGGTGAGCAAACCGGCAATGTAGGACAGGGGAACGAGATCGCCGGAGGCGGTGATCGTGCCGCGGAGAGGGAGGCAGGGAGTGACGTTGTGGTTGAGCAATTTGGTGATTGTTTCCAGAATCTCAAACCTGATGCCGGAGTATCCCTGGAGGAGGGTGTTGATCCTCACCGTCATGGCTGCCCGCGTTGCCGAGTGGGGCAGCGTGTGGCTTCCCGCAACTCCATTGCGGCCGCCGCCGCCGAAAATTCCGGCATTCAAAAACCTGCCATCCAAGTCACAGATGAATATAATCAAAGCCAGTGGCAGATTCTAGACATAATTAAGAGCATTAATTATTTCTTTGATTTCTGATTGAGATACTTCTTAAGACTTGGGAATGAGATGGAAGAGTTTACAGTTGATAGAATTAAATTCCCCTAACCAAATATTATCGCCACTCATTATGGAGGTAGGGAAACTATATACTCCAGTACTCCCATCCCATTTTAGCCAGTTACCAGTATCCCATATGGACAACTTTTAATTTTGATAAATGTACAAAATTAATCCTTCCATCCCATTTTTTTAAATTATTTGTTACTTGGATTAAATATAACACGACTTTTTCACGCATATAAAGATGAAAGTTAGTTTTTATGGTTGAAAGTGTACTTTTTTCCCACCAAAATTGAGTCTAAAGCTCCGTTTGATATACTGAGTTTAAACTATGGAATTGGAATTTGGAATAACATTTTCAAAATCAATTCCATAAATTTCAATTCCCAATTCAATTTTAATTCCATGTACCAAAGAGACCTTAAATACTTTTTATGTCATGCAATGTAAACAAAATAGCAAAAGAGTGAAACTTTTTACGGTAGAAATCTGTATAATGAAACGTTATGATTTACTCCCTACGCCTTACAAAGTTATTTATATCTTTTTTATTTGGAAGTCTCAAAATAAGTTTTACAATTTTACTCTCTTTTAAACAAGTTTTCAGTTTTCACTTATACATTTTTTTTACTTCTTAATCTTTTTCTTGAGTTTCACAAAGTCAATGTTTAGCTATTATTGATGAAATAATAATCGTCTCTCTTCTTTTTCTTTTTATGTAGAACTTTTAATTTAATTATTAAATATCTTAGTTTTGTTTTTAATTCTACGCCAATTATCAAATAAATTATATTAAAAATAGTTAAACTCAAACATCATAAATCAAAACATACATTTTAAATTGGGATAAATGGAGTATAAAACTTTATAGGTAGAACTTAAATTCATTACTTGGCTGAGTGGGTCATTCACACTTGACCCTTGATTGAGTAGTGATCATAAAATAATGTCAAAAGTAGGAGACAATACTCACCATTTTCCAATAACATCACTAATTACTATTTTTGGTTGACTATTATTTTTAAAATAATTTTTTAAGCGACACCGAAGGTTCTAATTATTTGATTTGATCATTTTGTCTATTTTTTTACACAGTATAATAAATTTTAAAATCAAATTTGAATACGTATCCAATTAAAATTAAAATTATAACGTAGCTTCTAAGCTAAAATTAATAAAGTCGTCTCACCTAAAAAAGAAAAAAAAAGAAGGGTTAATAAAATGAAATATATATACCTAATGAGCTCCTGCTGAAGAGCATGGCCTTGCTTGGTTCTCCGGTGAGAGGTAGCGCCGAAGCCGGTGGTGACGCCGTAGCTGTCGGTACCCTTGCTCATGCTGTCCATGACCCAGTCACTGCTGGCCTTGACCCCCGCCCGGGCCGCCTCCGACAGCTCCACCTTCACCCCACTGTCGCTGGCGGCAATGGCGGCCACCTGAGCCACGGTGAGCGTCTTCCCGCGGAGCTCCACCACCGGGTTCCGGTACTCGGCCACCATGCGCTTCACCTCCTCCAAGTGGCTCCCCTTCAGCGACTCCGCCGCCGCCCCCCAGTTCAACGGGTCGCCCCCCGACAATCCCATGCACGCCCCGTTCTCCTCCCGGTGACCGTTCTCGTACACGCACTCCATTACTACAATTCAATTTAATGTATTTTTTCCGTAAAAAAAGTTGTTTATAACTTGATTGATGATGGGGTGAAGGGGGGTATAAATAGGTGGGGGGGAAAAGGGGAGGGCTGCGGTCCAAAACGCTACACAATATTTGGTAGGTGAGTGTGGACAGTTAGAGGGGGGAGGAGATTGGTGTGGCGTGGCCAGCCTTGGGAGTGGGGGTTGGTGGAGGATAAATTGTGGCCGTTGATTTTCTTAGAGATCGGAGGGCTGAGGTTGGTGGCCGGACAGGCAACATGGCTTCCTAAAATAATTCAAACCCCCTTTAGACCCAAATTAAAGACTTGTAGGAGATAATTAGTCGCCAGTCGTCGGAAGTGGTCTCATGAGATGGGGGGATTTGAACGAGTACACACAAGTCACAACACATGATTGTGTTTGAATGGGATGGGGTAAAATGGTACCGCGCTGATGAACTAATTTATGGGTGTGATAGTAAAAAGGTAGTTGACCTTTCTATATGTGTATCGTTTATATTGTGTACAATAAAGTTACTTGTGCATCAAAGATTGTAATCTAAATTGTGCATATGCACTGACATTTTGATGATTCATATCCTTTATATCCTTTATATATATATAAATGAGACTCTAAACTCTAAGGAGATGATATGTGGCATTGCTAGGAGCTAACATGTGGCATTACTAAGAGCTGACATGTGTCATTACTTATGTGGCTTTCTTATGCAACCCAATTTATAAACTCAATAAAAAGAAAAGAAAATTATTTTTATGTAGCCATTTCTAAAAGCTAATATGTCACATAAATTTTCATATAGAAAATATAAAATTAAAAGTTTGGTAAGAAATATTTGATTAAATATAAATATGGGGAAAAAAATTCCTTTTTATAATAATATTCTTTCTAAATTCTATAATTTTTCTCTTTATTGATAACAAATTTTTAGAATCCTTTATGAACGTGACATTTGGCAGAGCTAAAGCATGACATGTGGTGACATTTGGCAAAGTTAAAGCGCGACATATGCCCTTTTAGACAAACCGATCGGTTTGACCGGTTAGACCAGTTCTTTTTTTGCAATTTTTTTCCAAAAGCATACCACCATGGGGTTTGAAACAAGGATCTCTTGGTCATTTAGTTGAGTTCCTAACCATCCAAGCTAGGGTACTTTTTGTTACAATCTCACTTAAGCTTTTATAATGTTTCATAATTAAAAAAAGGATTGTATAAACATTTCTTTTTAGTTATAAAAAATATAATCCTTTAATATAATATTTGAGACTCCGTTTGCTAAAAAGTCACCAAAAGACAAGCTTATGTGGGCTATATTAAGGTGAGATGACAAGTCTTTATTGGTTGCTTATGTGACAAATTTTATTAATGATGAATTGACCTTTCTTTTTATTTTAAAATAGAAATTTAATAATGATTTTAAATTTTGGAAAAATTTTACGTTAAAAGATTTAGTAGAAATAAAGAATTCACTACTTCGTGACATTAGTTGAGTATTTATATTTTTATTTTTAAAAAGCAATTCATCTATTTATTTGTTATGATGTGATAAAATTAATTATGTTATAAAATCAAATTTGTGAAAGATAAATGTAGTATTGTCCGAAATAAAATTTTTAAAGGAAAACAATTATATAAAATATAATTTTACGATAAAAATTATTATGATGTAGCAAACAATTAGTGAAAATATAAAATTGGTATTATCACTTACCATTTCAAGACTAGCATTTTTTATGAATCAAATTTTTAACTAAGTGCATACACAAAAAACAAAATTTTGATAATGATATATTCTCATTTAAGAGTATTCTTATAGAAAAGGATCAAATATGTTTATAATTGATCCTTTATTTATAAAATTGATATTTTAATCTTTAAGAAGCAGAGATGTGATATTGTTTAAGAGACATTCCTGACACGTAAAATATATTATAGAAAGTAGAAGTTAATACTATTGTATGAAGTCCTTCGGTACAATTAATT